CGCATATCTTTGTTTATTGTTTTCACAGTCACTTTCTACAGGCATGCTACTTCTTGACTGGAAACGTGGAAAGGTCGTTCCACTTCACAAATCCGGTAATAAACAGTCCCCATTAAATTATTGCCCCATCTCATTAACTAGTGTGCCATGTAAAATGCTTGAACATACCATCTATACACGTATCATAGACTTTCTTGGTTCTAACCACTTTTTTCATCCATCACAGCACGTCTTCAGGAAAGGATTTTCGTGCGAAACGCAGCTAGCCATGTTTGTTCACGACCTGCATGTAAATCTGGATTCTAACTTACCGACTGGGGCCATCTTTTTAGATTATTCAAAACCCTTCGACAAAGTTCCTTATGATCGTCTAGTACTATAACTTGATCTGTAACATCTAAATCCCAATATTTTAGCATAGATTAAAGAAGTTTTAAGTAATGTCTCACAATCCGGCTTTGTTAATAACCATATATTTAGTGCTACCCACCATGTTCCTCAAGGGTCCGTACTTGGTCCTCTGTTGTTTTTAATTTACATTAATGATCTACCATTGCATGTCTCATCTAATATCCGTATGTACGCAGAGGATTGCATAATTTATCGTATCATTACTAACGTTTCCGATAACACATTTCTTCAAAATGACCTCCGAAGTGTGCAAGAATGGTGTAGCCTATGGCTAATGGAACTAAACCCCAATAAATGCAAGACTGTCTCTTTCGATCGCTGTAAAAATCCACTTATTTTTTCTTACAGAATTGCTTGCGCTAATCTTGAACTAGTTCCTTCCTACAAATATTTTGGAGTAACCCTTTGCAGTGATTTAACCTGAAGACTCACATTACGAATATCATTTCATCTGCCAATAAAACACTCGGGTTTTTAAAAGGCCGTCTGGGCCATGCCCCTCAAGATGTAAAGCTACTCGCCTATCAGTCTCTCATCAGGTCAAAATTAGAATATGCAGCCCCCATTTGGAACCCTCATCAACAATATCTGATCAATCAACTCGAGTCTCTTCAAAATTGAGCTGCAAGGTTTATTCACTCTCAGTACTCATATGACATCAGCATATTGGCACTGAAAACAGAATATAGTTTCTCATCACTCACATCTCGTCGCCGCACTGCTAGCATTTGTCTTTTTCACAAGTTTTTTTTACAGCTCTCTCGATAAGCCACCATACATTCTCCCCCCCCGACACGCATCTCCAGTCGCACCGGTCACCCACAACAAGTTGCTCGCCCACGTGCCAGCACCCTCACTTTTTCGTCTTCATTTTTTTTTTCGTGCAGCAACCGACTGGAACGGCCTTTCCAATGACATCACAGCCATTACCTGTCCTTCAACATTTTTAACCACTTTAACAGATCACTTTACAACGTAGTAAAACATGGCTTTTGTTTTTCATGTATGTACCCGCCCCTTATGTAATACCCCTTCAATGGGGTCTTTAAGGAATAAAAAAAAATTGAAAATTAAATGCAGTTCAATGAATAGCATAGCGAAATACTCAAACCTCGATATAACGAACACAGATGTAACGAAATATCAGTTATAATAAAAGAAAGAGTACTCTTGTAGTAGAGGTAGTGCTAGGAATGTACCTTTATAATGATATTTTTTCATATAGCAAACTTTTTTTTTTAAGATGCAACTTCATTATAATGAGATTTCAGTGCAGTAAGGGCACAGAAATATGGTCGTTATAGGTATTTGGAATTGTTAAAAATGTGTTCGACAGTTCACAAATTAGTCTGAGCTTTGCTCTTTTTACTCAGTATGGCTGTGTGACCTGGAGCTCCCATGATCAAGTTCCGAACAGTCACCAAACCAAAATGGCTCACGAAGTTCACAACAATCCATTCGAAACAAATAACAAAGCACAGCAATAAACATAGTTGTGTCTGAAACTGCAAGCTCAATTATTAGACTTCAAGGACTACCGATCAATCCCATGGTGGCAGAGCAATTCCAGTGCCACTTAAGTCGCATGCCTTGTGTCGCTCAAGAGGCTGCAATATCAGCCTGGAACAGGTATGCAAGTATTGATGCCAAATTTCTCTGGGCAGCTCCTGAAGCTGAGGTATAGTTCAGCTAAGAGTATGGTCAAAATGTGATTGAACCTTCTGATCAAAGACGGGCACAGTGCCAAAACCACATGACTGCTCGGTGGTTCGAGATAAAGAACCTGATGAGAGGTTTTTTGTTGTTTACTTAAAATGAAGTCTATTATGCAACATAGACCAGTGTCATGAGAATTGCGTTACTCATTTGCATGGCTTGTGAATGAGAAGGGGCCCAGTTATAAGCATCGAATTCAGAGGGGCAGGAAGCTTCCCCGGGTGCCACCCTAATTTATATAAAGACCATTGAAATGTGATTGTGGTCCTCTGCAGGACAACTATTTTCCTGGGGTCTTTTTTTCTGCCTTTTTGTTTTGGGATGCTAAGTTTTGGATCTTTGGCCAGTAAGACATTCAGTGGAAAATGCCCCTAAAATGGAGTTACGTATGTCATAAATAAACAACTACCTTGGTTCCCACTTGAGCTGTGACGAGCTAATAGAAACTCTTTGCACTCGGTGATGGTGGCTGACCACTGGAGCTGATCGGAGTGAAACAGAATATTCTTGTAAACTACAACCTTCAATAGAGCACTGTTTTTGGGTGGCATTGAGTGGCTCCTTAAAGGGCGCATGGCAAAACGCTGTTTCCAGGTGTCGTCTTTGTCAGCATCTTGAGCTGCCAGTACATGGCGAAATGCATGATGGGCATCAAGCTGATGTGTGCAAGTGTTGGCTTCACAAGTTACCTGGCCAAAAGATGCGCCGCCAATGGCAAGATGATGACCAGTGTTATATTTTTTTAGGCTTGGCATGCTGTGGTCTCTCGGAAACTATCTGTAACAGCTCTGCTGTAAAACGCCTTGAATTGCGTAGGGACACCTCTTGGTTTTCAGACTACAAAAGTGGTTCCGAGAATAGAAAGCATTCTTAACACTCGAATGCTTTCATGCAGACTTACTCGCCAGTGTAGTTTCTTGCATGTCTACATAAGGACTCCCTTTTGACCTGCCTACAGAAGTGCCGAGAAAAGATGGTACACATATTCAATTGGTCTTTATTGGGCTTTACCAGTCCATTCACCAAAGAGCTACTTGTTTAGAAAATAACCTAAGTGAAAAATAATTACCCTCAGTTTCACCCTTGGTGTAGCGGTGCCAACTTGGAATTACAGTGAAATCTCGGTATAACGAACTTCAGGGGACCACGAAAATTTGTTCGGTATTTTGAAAGGTCGTTATAGTGAAAGCTTGAAAATTAACCATAAATACTTATTTTTCACCGACCAAAATGACTTACCTTTACAACGGTGGGTCCTTGAACTCGTTTTTTTCCGAGAAAAAAGAAATGCACAAGTAAACACAAAAAATGCACGTTTACTTTAAAGAAGTCTGATTTTTTGTTGTTTTTTTATGCAAGCAGCACAAATTTTGCAGCGCGAAGGCCTCCAGCTCATCCACATTCCTGTGGTGCGACTCGGTTCTTTGGTCACAACAGCCTGCTTTTTGCCTTCCAGTTGCCGAAGAATATCCATTGTCTCGCTTAGCAAAAACTGCTTCCGCTGCTTCGTCGCAAGCAGAGATGAACTCATTTGTAGTATCACAGCAGCGCGAGCGCAGACTTGCTTTGCGGATGCGAGAAGTAATCACCGAAAAGAGATGAACACGACTGTAAAAACAAGGCCTCCAAAGAAAAACCGAAAGCATCACCGCTGCCATCGCCTTTTTCGAAGAAAAAAAAAAGTGCTAAAAAAATTTCTCGCGTTTCGTTTTCTGCTCTCTCGCTGTCTCAGGTTTCTAGCGCCCATGCTTCCTGCTCCGCAACTCCCACTATGCCTCGCTGATCTTGCCCTCTCGTGTTGCCCTCGCCTCTGCGCTCGCTTGTAAACCTGTAGCATGGTCTTTCATTCAGTGGCCGTGCCTGCAGCGTCAGCGTTTCAACAAAAAGAAAGTCGCCCTTTCGTTCTTTTTTTTTTCCACACCGTCGCTCGTCTTTAGAGAAGCAAGGCGTTCGTTCGCTTTGTCGTCTGCTTGCTTACTGCTCCGGTGGTCGCGACGGATTTCAGAACATAAGTCCGTAGTACTGAGGCGTTAATATAATGCGGAACTAAATTAACGCTCGTTATTCTGAAAACTTCGGTATTCTGAAGTACGTAGTAGTGAAATAATTTTACATTGAAACTACTAGCAGTTGGCACGAGATTTTTTAAAAGTTCGTTAATCTGAAAGGTTTATTAATGTGGGGTTCGTTCTACCAAGATTTCACTGTATTTTTGGCCATAATAATTTGAATTAAATTGTTTAATTAAAACTTCCTGTACCGGCACTTTCATGTGCCTGGTGCATATTTCAATAAAAAAAGAAAGTGTGGTAATATCACCCAAAAACCAAATATCAGCATTGCAAGACATGACAATTGCATAGGAACACTACGTTGAAGAGTATGATGTGGCCTTCAATTGATGCACTACTCTTAGGCACTATGCTTGAAGCGCAGAACAGTGAACTAACTATCCTAGTGTCTCAATAGAGCGCTACATATTGATATTGCCATGCAAGCACATAGGGCACTCAAGTTGTGTTTCAATTCAATGTTTGTATGTTGGAAAGTTGTGAGAATGAAAACTCTGCACCTATGGGCTCAATAATGCTTGCACATTTCCCTCATAAAGATGAAGCCTTTTTGGTGACAGCTGCTATCGTAGGCAGAATGTATTGTGCTGTTTTTTTTTTTAATGAAATATATGGGGCTCTGAATGAGATATCTGCTTTTTAATGAAATATATGGGGCTCTGAATGAGATATCTGCTGTTTTGATGAATGGCTTTGAATAGCTATTGCTTAGATGTGCTTTCTTAGTACTGAGCATTCTCGTGAATTCTCTGTTGTGCTAGCTTTTCTCTGAGAGTAGTTAGATGGCTCTAATGTTTGCAGCCAGAAGGTTGGACATCTGGAAAGCATTCAACGAATGAGCCAATCTCAATGTTTGCCCCTGAGGAAGATGCCGATGAAGACCTGTTTGCAGTGAACACACCACCAGCCCATCTGGCTGATAGCCAAAGCAGCCACAGTGTCCAGAGTGCATCGTGGAGCATGGGGGTGAGCTGGAAACAGTTGCACGACAAGCATCAGTGCTGTGCTTCACTTTATATGCATTACGAATTTTCTGGCACATGAATACAAATCTGGTTCAATGAAGTGTCGCACACTTTGTTGCTGCACCTTATCAAAAAATACACAAATATTGCGGTGTTTGAATTAGCTCCAGCATGAATTTAAAGCATTCAAATTTTCTAAGTATGCAAGATGGGTGAATTGACATATATGTATGATGCTCACGTAGTTTGATGTAAAAGTGGTTTCACTGCAGTAGGTGGTGCTGCACTATGAGCACACACCTCTAGACGAAATTCGCACTGCCATGAGGGCCACTTCCTAAACGAACTTAATATCCTGACATCGATTCACCATTTCTGAAGAGTTTGTTATACAGTCGAGCTCGCTTATAACGCACCTGAGCGTCACGCGGCATCCGTTCGCTGTATCCCGAAGTTCGAAGTAAATGAAACACATCTTTAAAAAAAGTTGCGAGTGAAAACACATTTTTTTCCCCAAAAAGTCCGTGATGCACGTGTTTCGAAGAGGAGAAGCGATAAGGGTGGTCTCGAGTTCGTTTAAAACGGCAGGATGCTCGTTCGCCGAGGCCCTTGGCATAAGTTGCATGAGGCACTGGCTCCAAAGTTTCGTGATTCTCACAATCAGATTCCTCCAAATCGCTCTCGCCACGTACTTCATTCATAATGTCCCAATCCGTGCACAGTTCCGCAGTGTCGGCATCATCATCGGCTGTAATTAAACCATCGCAACAGATGTCCCACCTGCTCTCCCAGGTCGGAGTCGATGACAAGCTGCCACAAATCGTCGCCGCAGTTCGGAAGTTTCAGGCTCGGCATCGGGCCCGACGTCGACGAAGTCGGCCTCGCGAAAACAGTTTCGCGCGCATGTAGTCGTCACTGTCACCCACGAAATATTCAGCTCCATAGCTGAATACAGTAGAACCTCCCTGATACGTTTTTCACGGGACCATAAAAAAAAAAAAACGTAGGAGCCGGGAAACGCAAGAGCCATGAAACGCAAAAAATTGGAGAAATAAGAGTAGTGGTGAAGTGCACATAGTTTTATTTTAATTCTTTCGCTTGAAAAAATCATGTAGCGTTGCCTGGCACATCTTCTCATGCCTGACAAGCACAAGGCGTTTTTCAAGCACCTGTAGTGCCATGTGGCTCTCGCCATTGTCACTGGTGTGCACATATCTTCGCAATAAATCCTGTGCCGCTACTGCCGATGAGGACGTTGGCTCCGGTATCCGCTCCGGAGCCAACGACCGACACGAAACAAAGGCAATGCGAGAAGACGGCAGCAAGCACGGGTAGCACGGGCACACATGGGCGATGGTGATGGCGATCGGGCTATACCCTTTGAATCGGGCCACCTGCGCGACCTGGTGGCGATAAGTTTAAGCCAGCGTGACATGTCAAGAAAACAAAAACAGGTCTCGGAGACCTTACTTTTACAAATGCCAAAACCAATTTTAGGGCCCCAACGAGTTATAGACACAATCTTTCTTAGAGTGCAAATACAGATCTCAAAGGTTATGCTTTTGCTGGCATGAACCGAAAATACATCATAGGTGTTGCCCCCGGCACTTTGGGTGGCCAATCCCATCGTCAAGTCGCCAAGCCAAGCTACATAAAACACAACATGGCCACTCGGGCCGGCGCGTCGTGGCACTTCGCAACGTATGATGCGGGGACAATCCCACAGTTGCGACGCAGCAGCGGGGTTCCCAATGCATTGGATCCTATGGGAGCTGTGCCGGGACCGGCCGAAAACGACGTAACAGCCAGGAAAACACAGCACACGAGAACACAACAGCCCCGCCGCGGTGGTCTAGTGGCTAAGGTACTCGGCTGCTGACCCACAGGTCGCGGGTTCGATTCCTGGCTGCGGCGGCTGCATTTCCGATGGAGGCGGAAATGTTGTAGGCCCGTGTGCTCAGATTTGGGCGCACGTTAAAGAACCCCAGGTGGTCAAAATTTCCGGAGCCCTCCACTACGGCGTCTTTCATAATCATATGGTAGTTTTGGGACGTTAAACCCCACAAATCAATCAATCAATCAACGAGAACACAACAGCGCGGTTCTACTGTACCAGGACGCCCGAAGCGGCAAGTTGACTGCCAAGTGGTCAACAGCTATGAGCAAGCGCTCCGCATCGCAGCACCTAACATGCGTATTACACTCAAGCCACGCGTGCTAGTTCTTTCGTCGGCCATCATGACCACACACGCACACCAAGAGCGAGCAAGACGCGCACACGCGACACACATGCCAGAACGCATGGAACAGTTCTGGGCCCGTTTCCAGTCAGAAAACGAAACTAATTCGAGCCAGTGTGGCGGGCGTCGCGGAGCGGTGGAGACGGGCGAAGGGGTTGTGATCAAGAGAGGAGAGCAGACTTGAGAGAGAAGGGCAAGGAGTTGCGATAAAGAGAGGGGAGCGTGCGGCGAGAGGGCGACCTTGAAAACCAAAACGCACAGGAAGGAGACAGGTTGGGTAGCTTGCTTGAAAGGTCCGCGAAACTCGCATGTAGAAAAACTTGGAAAGAGTGCCTGCGCCCAGAAGTCAAAGCATGGGCGCCTGGATCAGTGCGCGCGGCGGTGTTCGAAGAATCGGCGGCCGTGGTCAAAAAATCGTTTTGTTGTGCCGGCTGGTTTGCATGGCCTCAGGAACTTCGATATTTCGCTATTCGTTCCGTGCAAACTAACAGCCGTTTTCCCGCTTCCGCACGCGCGCGGAAGGCATGCTGAGTCGAGTGCAAAGTGAGTGAGAACAAGTCCTCAACACGAAACGAATTGCAAATTATCAGAGTCGGTGCGGTAGCGTACGTTAGTGCACTAGACGCAGACTATTGGATACAGTCGGTGGCTGACGATATTGGCAAATGGTCTGGTCACTCCAGGCCGGTGACGCCAACGACAGTACCAGTGATCAAAAACAGGGTAGATGGCCGACTGGTCTTCGAAAGATCGGTGGCAGTGTGAAAACACGGACCTCGTCTGGCGATGCGGCATGCTCAGAGTAGCGGGGGAGAAAGGACGGAGGGGTGCGTAACAAAAAGCAGTCGGGGCATGGAAAAAGGAAACAGCTTTCCTTCCTCCATGGGTTGGGGAGAGCGGCAACTATAGGGTCGCGGAGACTGGGTCGGCGTTTAACAATAAGAATGTATGGGCACCTCGCCGATGCCTGATTGGTGGTCGAAATTGGTTTTCCAGGAAGTCGGCAAACTGCTGACTCTGTTCGCTGTAACCGATCAGCGCCACTCGGAGACGTTCGTTGTAAGTGCGATTTTGTGCCATTGAATTAAGGTATATTTTCACGGTCACGCGGATATTGTTCGTTTCAAGCAAAAGTTCATTTTAAGTGGGGCCGTTATATGTGTGCTCGATTGTACCAGTTTATATGCTATAAGTATAGTAAATTTTTAAACCTAACAAATTTTACCCGTTATTAATTGAATTCTGACAAAACTCAAGTCCAGCTACTATGCAAAGTTGCTTTTTTAGTCCTGTCTTTCTTTGTCATTTTTTCATGCTAAAAAAGTATTCACATCAACTACGGTATTCAAAGTAGCTTCCAGTTTTCTTTTAATGAAAAAATAATGACACGCCTTATTTCAATTTTAAAAATATTGGACAGGCTGGTGGGTCATGACCAACATGCTCATTTTTTGTTATAATTGCGATATATACCATTCAAATTAATTTACGAGTAATTTGGCCAAACCAAAACTTACTTTGAACCCAAAATTTGCTCTTCACATATGCCCATGTAAAACCAATATTTTGGACATCACACAATGTCTTTTAAGGTTTCATCTTTTTAAGGTTTCATCTGCATGTGTTCTGTCATAAATATAGTGGCCCGGAAGTGTGTTCATGTCTGGCCTGCTTTATGAAGTCCCGAGTTGCTACTTCACAATGCCTTATGCACACAGCGTAATGATCATGATGCTCTGTCACAACAAATGCAATAGTGAAATATACAGGCTGTTTCAGTGAACACTTCCGCAAATTTAAAACATAACCTCCTTGAGAGCAGATCCCACACATTGTATGGATTGTTTAGTACTCGGGCAGTCTGTGGTGGATTTTTCACTTTGAGCCAAGCATTGAAAGGTGGTTTCGGCACCCAGAACCTTGTTCACAATAAAATAAAATTCATCATTAAGATGCAAAATGGGAGTCTTGTTTGCAGCAAAAGCATGTGTATGCATTGTTCACCCTCTTGTAGTTTATCCTCTTCTAATTTTTATATTCAGTGATAACCGGATGAGCCTTGATTTTCTTTCACCCTTGGTGTTTAAAGACCCCACCTTGTTTTCTGCTAGTATGTTTGTTTTTTGTCATTTGCCTTAGGTGAAGCCACGTTGTTCTTACTTTTCCAACATGCAACAGCAGATGTCTAGAAGAATGGAAAATTAAATTGATCATGCTAGATGTAGTTTGCATATCTGCCATTTGAGGTGCCTTAGTGGAACCACACTTTGTTTTGGTTAAAAAATTTTTGATATGCGGATGTTGAGTGCAAATGCTGTGCAACATTGCTAAGTGCAGCAGCAATCATTGGAGTCACAGGATGGTGGCGTTCTAGTGGCTATGTCGTTGCGCCATTGTCTCATTCCAGCCACAAAAGTGGGGAAATGCCAACAAGCTTCTGCATACTTAGATTTCGGTACGCTAGATGGCTTAGCATGAAAACTTGGTTAGTTGGTATAGAAGGGAGCCGCATAGCTAGTGAAAAAGCCTAGCTAGGTTCCAGCCACATACAGTCGTACTGTGCTCAAATAACGTCCCCTTTTCATAGCTCAACTCATTGCAGCTACGACAGGTTCGGGCGAGTAAGGCAATAGGCTAGGTTAACACTACGTTAGCAATAGCGCGTAAATGTTTTGTCGAAGGATAGTTCGCTCTGTGAAGAGAACAAAGAGTATAGCTTATTTCTTTAGTCGATGGCCAGCTAGTGTGGGTCTTGGAAGTGAGGGAGAGGTCATCTGCTTGTCAGTTTTGTTTCACACTCCCTAGCCTATCCCGCAAGCCGGGAAGGAGGGAGATAGTGCACCAAGTGAACAGCCCTCCGACGGAGGCTTCAGTGTCTCTTTTTCATCGACCGGTTTATTCTCGCTGCTAATGTCAAGGAAAATGAAGCGTGGGCGTGCGCTCTCCCACAACTAAGGGCTGCGCAGCACTTTCAAAAAATCGCAACAGATGACTTTCCAACTCAACTTCCATTCGCAAAAGTGAACTAGAAATGTCATTGAGCCATGTGAGTGTAATACACTCCACACAAAGAGAACTTTTTTCTCCCTTGAGTAAACAGGCACACGACTTCTGTGTACCGCACGTGCTGAATAAATATTCACACTTTTTATCTGATAGCCTATTCAATGGCTGGCTCATTATCCCCTCCTCTTATGTGGAAGGCCTCATTATTTTTTCGGACTTCCCAAGAAGTTAAGCCAGGTAGTCAAAATGGCAGCAGAGTATCAGCATGCCTTATCCTAATCGTACTCTTGCAGTTTTATGAACTTGTAGAATTTAACCAATATTTGGCCCATCTTCTGTGCAGTCCAAAGGAGATGGGGAACCCATGCCAGGGGTGGAAGCTATGCTTGAGGAGCCAGTTTCGAAGGTGAGCCTTGCACTCATTATTCCGACATGGCCCCTGATAGAGAACATTGTAGCTCATTCTAGCCTGTTAGGAATAACAGAGAGCTGAGCTAGGTATAGTTCGCAAAAAACGGAGTGTGCACAAATGGACATGAGGGACAAGTCAGGGCACCACAAATGAAAGACAGACTGCTCTGTTAACCAGAAATCATTGCAACACAAGTTATCGCTAGCCAAAGGTTTACTTTCTAATCTATCTTTACGTTGCCAAGAGTGTAAGCGCAATTTGATGAATGCCCAAATTAGTACCGGCACAAGAATGAAAAAGCACGTCTAGCACTTGATATCAATAATATGGGTGGCACATGCGCAAGTCAACTGTTGCACAAAGAAGAAATCAAATGCCCCTAACAGCTATATTTCACGTAGATCCCCATGCATTAATAGGTTTTCCTACTCCATGCAGATATAAGTTCGCGGCCCTTCTTTCTTCATTTGTTAGTTGGCATTGGGGTTGTTTAGACTTCTTTTGTGCGTGAATGACTAGTCTGTTATTGTTAACCTAATAACCAGCCACACTATGTCTAGGTTTTTTGGTTCACCTGGAAGAAAAGCGAATACTGAAGGCTCGTGGTTTAGGTGGATATCCAAACAAAGTTTAGATGAAAAACTTTTGCCTCTTAGAAAACAAGACCACTCTGGCGTGCGAGACCAGGAAGTGGTAAAAGAGTGCCTTCGTGAAAAGAATAGCACCTTACTTTGGCATGTGGTGTTTAGTGCGTAGAATAGCCTTTATTTTTCTGGGACGCATAACACTCAGGGCGACTGCTTCTTCTGACAGATGGGCAAATTACGACTCTGTTTATATCTTAAAAAAAAATGAACTAGACACTTCACGTAGACAATAAGTTTATCTATTTCAGAATGCTTGCCAGCTTTCCCGATTGTCACGAGTAGTTCCAGGTTGATGTAACAGAGAGGTCGCATTTCTTGTATGGTGGGTGCCGTCAGTGTCTATATCGCCCTTACCATTCAGTGATGAAAATGTACAATTACGGGCAATTTTAAGAATTTATGAAATATGGGTATGCCATAAATTGGTCCGCACTGCAACTTTTTAATATGACTGCTCTCAAGTCAATAATCAACTATTTCGTTACCGTAAGAAAATACAGTTGAACCTGTTTATAACAAACATCTATATTTCATTTCATTTTATTTATCCTCAAGGCCATATGGCATTATAGAGGGGAGTGGTTACAAGTAGACAAGAAATAAAATACAGTATGAAATAAGTTTGTCAACAAACAAAAACTCCTCATGACACAATATTACCTGCGTAAGGACCACAACTTCAATACAGTATGAGCATAGTACATAATAATACATAACATAATGCATTGTACACTTTCTGATTTCTAATTATGCAAAATTAAGTAAGGCTTAATGGAAAAGATGGTTATTAGTGATACAGCTAAACCTGCTTATATTTCATTTCATTTTATTTATCCTCAAGGCCATATGGCATTATAGAGGGGAGTGGTTACAAGTAGACAAGAAATAAAATACAGTATGAAATAAGTTTGTCAACAAACAAAAACTCCTCATGACACAATATTACCTGCGTAAGGACCACAACTTCAATACAGTATGAGCATAGTACATAATAATACATAACATAATGCATTGTACACTTTCTGATTTCTAATTATGCAAAATTAAGTAAGGCTTAATGGAAAAGATGGTTATTAGTGATACAGCTAAACCTGCTTATAACGTTCCTCCATATAACGAATTCCTCGATATAACGAAGTTTTTCTATTGTCCGTCATTGCTCCATAGAAGCACATGTATTTGCGACCTCTATGTAAAAAAACTAACAGCGGGTGGCAACCTTGATTTAACGAATTTTTCTCACGGACAATTTAAGAATTTTGCTCCACATTTTAGCATTTTGGTACGAGCATGAGTCTTCCGCGGCGGCCCCGCCGCTGACCCGACGATGGTTTATGCGCGTGAGCTTATTTGGTAGGGAAAATCGCGAAGAATCGTGTGCCTTCGACTTTGACTGGAACGATTGTGTTTAGTTGCCGCGCACGCAAAGATCACTTCGCTCACTGTACAGGCGCCGTTTGCGAAGAGTGTGCTTTTCAAACACGGTGAAGTAACAGCTGGGGCACTTGTTTGTTCGCACTCATATCTGTACCTTTGATTACGTTTCGTGCCTGGTTTTTGTTTAAACAGCGCATTAAGTGTCGATCGGTAAACATTGTGTAGTTCTCTCCCGTCCTCTGTATGTTTTTGTGCGTCATTTTGTGCGTGAGCAGCGCGTTGCACGTTTCCATCTCCTTGCCGTTTTGAGCGTTACTTTCCAAGTTTTTCCTATTAGATTCATTGCTTGGCCTTTGCGGCAAAGCTGTGACTTCTATTTCTCTAATTTCGGACAACGGTCTGAACCAAGGGGATGTCAGATTAGGCGCTGATGGAAACTTTCCGCGACCACGGTGACGACGGACCTTCGGAGGTCGACTCGTCATGCACTTCTGTTTTGCATCGTGCGGCGAGTTCACAGGCTGGTAGCTTTCACTATTAGCCAATAATTTCTGGCAACATGACGACGCGTTGAATGCAGTGTAATAAATGCGAGAGCAAAAAAATGAATGTTATAAGAAGTAAGGCTGGCAGCCAACTCTTTTTGATCCGATATCGCGGAACTCCTACAAAACGCTGGTGTGAGCAAATACGGCCACTCCAGGGAGAAGTGCTTTTTTCACACAATCTCTTTGCATTGAAAGCACACTGATTCACTCGCCGAGATAGCAAGTGCACCAGCGATCGCAACCGCCCTTCTTAAAATCCAATTTCATTATTGCTGCTCCAGCGAACCCCCCGCTTTGCTTCATGGTCGTGCAAGACGGACGGATGGTTTGCTTTTTGTTTCAGCATTCGACAGCAGTTCTAACATGCGGGAGATGGTATCTTATACACTTTCCAGGCAATAGGGATGGGCCAACTCATTTGATCTTTGCTTCAGCAGCACTCGCCCGCTTTTACTTCTACCCGCTCATGAAAGTTACGATGTGCGGGCATGTTGCATGTGTCAGCAGGCCTTCAATTGCTCTATCACAAAAAGAATTAGATTTTCTTCAGAGCATTGACACATATTTTGTTCATAGCGTGTTATCACGATGATTACTCGGGTGTTAGGTGAATTGTTTTCTTTGATTTGTATTTTCCCCTTTTTTGTCAGATACTGCTCAAGTATATAATGTGCGGTGCCAGCAAATAAATCTTGTTGTAAGTCAGTGCCACTGTCTGTCTCCTTCTTTTCGTGTCCCTCGTTATTGGCGCTGTTTTTTATGTGAATCATGTCGTACCAACTCGCCGAAGCAACCATGTTAGCATGTTATCAATTTGGACTTGTTACGAAACATTGTGGTGATGGCGAAAACCCGCCGATAGTGTCTATATAATTTGTATCGCAATAGTGTCACAGTTTTTTTACTGTAAGAAAAGTGTTTTGGGTTAGCTCTGCCTTCAGTCCTCCTTTTGCTTAGTTTGTGCGTTTATTTTCCGAATTTTTGTACCGCACCTTCATATAAGAAATCGTCTTTATAACAAATTTTTCTGGGAATTTATCTACTTCGTTATATCCAGGTTTAACTGTAGTTACTATGTCCTTGGGTCGGTGGTTCCAATCTGCTGATGTACGAGGTATGAATGATCGATAAAAACACTGGGATTTGCATGATGCGATGCCAACCTTATGGAGGTGGTCGATACGATAGGATATGTGCTGAGGATTAGTTGGTCATGAAAAGTGGGATGATGAAATAATTTGTGAAATGTGGCCAGGCAGGATACTTTATGATGAGATGCAAGTGAAGGGAGGTCTAGGTTGGATCTAATTGAAATTGTATTGACAATGCGATTATAGTTGGACAGTAAGAAACGGATGGAGTTTTTCTGTATAAGTTCTAATGAAGCGATCAAGTTATCGTGGTAAGGATCCCACACAGAAGAAGCAGTGCTTTTGAAAAGTTACGGCATATGTAGCCTAACATGCAATTGAAATTATTAGTAATGTATTCGATATGAGGTGCCCAAGATAGGTTCATCATGATAAGAACACCCAAGTATTTTAATGAGTTGACCAGATTGAGTAGGATGTTGTTTAAGTAGTATGTTAGCAGAGTGTTGGGTGTTGGGTGATCATGTTACGCGCATTACCTTACATTTGCCAATGTGCCATGACACTATCAGCACTAAATTTCTGAAAAGCATCATTACTTACAGTTCATTGATACTAACAAAGATCTTTCAACAATCTTTAGATACATCAACCATTCCTGCACAATGAAAAATCGGGAGGGGGTGCCAATTTTTAAGTCGGTTAATAAACACTCTCCAAATAATTATCACCCTATTTCTCTAACAAGCACTTCCTGTAAGCTATTAGAACATGTAATTTTCACCGACATCGTTACCTTGCTTGACTCCAACTCTTTGCTGCACCATGCTGCTTGTGCTGCACCATGCTGCACCAACGCGCCATGTGCTGCACCAAGCCGCTATGCTGTTAAGATCAGATTGAAAGCATGAAATGTCATTATCACTGGTTATTTCATGGCAAATGATGCAATCATCTGCAAAAAGATGAATGTTATAAAAAATAGAAGATGTGGGGTCGTTAATATACATAAACAGAAGCGAGCCAAAGACCGACCCTTGCAGTACGCCTCAGTTCGCCTCAGCAGATGATGAATTGTGATTGTTATCAGTAACGTATTGAATTCTGTTACATAAAAAACATTCAATCCACTTGAGCAAATTATTGTCAAGGTTTAGTGGGCTCAATTTGAAAAGTAATTGTTGATGACAACTTTTGTCGAAAGTTTTACTAAAGTCTAAGAAAATACAGTCGACGCATGATGAGCAGTTCAAAATCTAATGCAGTTTCTGAGTGAATGATATGAGTTGTGTCTCGCATGAAAAATGTTTGCGAAAGCCATGTTGTGCAGG